GCTGTGAACATTTTGTAATCCTTTACTTACATTAACAATCCTGACATTGGTGGCAGTAAACCCGATGATTGTTTAGAGATACACACTGGGTTCTTGGACCCCGGAACCGAACACGGACATGTCACTGTATGTTCAGGTTGGAGTTCGGTGATTTAATGACGCGTTTTGAAAGGCTGCAGGGCAGCCATTCAACAAGCGTTTGACTTGTGTGCCCTTAGAAGACATCACAGCCATGCCTACTAATGGCATGGCTGTGATTGGCCAGTGCAGCATGTGACCCAGCTAGTAGGGGCATGTCTAGTAAACAGTGAGCTGCTCACTGTTAAAAAAAAAAAAAATCCCACCTCCTGAGCCTCCACCTGCGACGCGCGAGTGGGAGCTTTTAAACTAAAGGGGGGACCTACTGCTCCCCCGGCCCCCACCCCTGAGCGGTGGGTGGAGGCCATAAATAAGAATTTGGGAGGGGACCTACTGTCCTACCCCCCGGCCCGCACCCATGCGCGGCAGGTGGGGGCCCTAAATAACAATAAGGGGGGACGACCTACTGTCCTCTCCCCAGCCCCCACTCCTGCGTGGCGGGTGGGGGCCCTAAATTACAATAAGGGGGGACCTAATGTCCTACTAATGGCATGGTTGTGATTGGCCAGTGCAGCATGTGACCCAGCTAATAGGGGCATGTCTATTAAACAGTGAGCAGCCTGTGGCTGCTCACTGTTAAAAAAAAAATCCCACCTCCTGAGCCCCCACCCGCGACGCGCGAGTGGGGGCTTTTAAACTAAAGGGCGGACCTATTGTCTCCCTGGGCCCCACCACTGAGCGGTGGGTGGGGGCCATAAATAATAATTTGGGGGGGACCTACTGTGCTCCCCCCAACCCCCACTCGTGCGGTGGGTGGGGACCGTAAATAAGCCCCCACCCCTGCACAGAGCACTCTGATTGGTGGATTAAGTAACCAATCAGAGTGTTATGAGTCAAATTACACAGCGTGGGAAAATTCCAAAGAACTTTCCCACGCTGTGTAAAATGACACAGAGCAATCTGATTGGTGGATTTCAAGTCAACCAATCAGAGTGCTGTGACAAGTAAATGTAGAGACTTACCTGTCAGTCTCTTCATTTACCTGTCAGAGCATGGGTGAAAATTGATTATTTTATTTTGCGCTAGTTTTTTTTGTTTTTTTTTAATGCGTCGGTTATTATGGATTTTTATTTGGCCTTTTTTGGGGCTGAAAACATTTTAGAAGAAAGAAGACATCAAATGGTAAGTCTATTTTTAAATTTTTTTTATCAGCTATTTAGATAAGGGTTACTCCTCATTATTTTTAGGATGAGGGGGGTAGGTAGGGGTAATTTTTTTTGGGGGGGTGACTAGGGATTTGGGGAACCCTAGTCACCTGGGGTGAGGGGGGGTAACATTTTATTTAGGGTCCCCACCCGCCGCTCGGGGGGGAGGACATTATAGACTGTAACGGAAAAGTTGGTAACACGTAAGACCACAGGGAAGCGGATTAAAGTAGTCAAGGTGATAGAGTACAGCAGCATGGACAAGCAGATTCATGTTAAATGGTAGTTAGGGGTCTGTTCTGCTTTTTTAAACATTTTCGAAATTAGGAGAAATTTTCTATACATATATAATACAGAATTCTGGAAGAATTTTTCATTCATAATAAAATGAAGGTACTGTCCCTTTGACATTTGTTCAAAGCATGAATACTACAAACAAAACACCACCACAAAATGGAAAGTTTAAAAAAGGTACTGGACCATGCATTATTTTAAAAGATTACCAAGGTTATTTATTAAACTGTGTCAGGTACTGTTAATACCAGTACCTGACACGGATTCCCCCTTTCCTGGTTATTGTTTGTCCTGTATATTGAGCCTTTGGCCCATATTCTAGAAACATATATAACTCATCACACACTATTTCTGTATTTGAAGATTATGATATGCTGACGTTGTTAAACCCATTTAACTACTTCCTTACACTTTTACAATAACTTAGAGAATTATGGAAGCTTTCTTATTAAAAACCTAAAACAAGTAAAACACATACTCTTCCAATTGGATTGTTTATCCAACAACTGAGTGAGCAACTTACCTAATGGGGTTACCATTCCAAAATCAGCCCATGTACTTTTTAAGCATAACTACCAACCCTAGCTTTACCAGCTAAAATGTGAATGCCATAGTTGGATTGTCTCTCCTGGGAAGGCCATATAAATGTTTTCAAAATGTTTTTTTCTGTAAGTGGAGAAATGGGAGTAACTAACCTCTTTTGGTACTACAAGGCAGTGTTACTGGCAGGGCCGGCGCAAGGATTTTTGCCGCCCTAGGCAAAAGTAAAGTTTGACGCCCCCCTCCTCCCCCCCGTGACATCGCAATACCCCACCCATATGACCTGCCATGTTAACTAACACTAGTGCTGCAGTGCCGCTGTGTTTACATTAAAAGGCCTGCAGGGACAGGCTATAGACACCAGGACCACTACATTAAGGTGCAGTGGTTCTGGGGACTATAGTGTTTCTTTAATGTGAGGTAAATTAGAGATTAGTGCCACGAATAATATACTAGATTACCTACTTACAAGCAGATGAGGATGATGATGGGCTCTAGCTGCAGTCTGGCTCCACTGGTCTGGTGTATAACAGGATCTCTGGAGGCTGTTTGTAACTGTGGTCACACAAATCAATGTTCTGGGAGAACGAGAAGCAGCTCCATTTTTTGGGGGCCCTTTACACAGCTCAAGGTCTGGGTCCCAGGGTCCACCTTCATTTTCCACCAATGAGTTTGTTCACAGGGGATGGAGTGTGTAGGGAATGTCCTGATTTGTGTGTAAGGAATGCATTTTGTGAATCTGTGTTTGTATGTGTAAGGGCTGCAAGGTGTGTTTCTGTGTATGTAAGGGATGAAGTGTGTGAGTCTGTAAGGGGTGCATTGAGTGTGTGTAAGGAATGCATTGTGTGTTTCTGTGTGTGCAAGGATGCATTGTGTGTAAGGGTTGCATTGCGTGTGTGTGTGTAATGCATTGTGTGTGTAATGCATTGTGTGTTTTTCTGTGTGCAAGGGGTTCATTGTCTTTGTGTGTAAGGGGTGCATTGTGTGTGATTGTGTGTGTGTGTGTGTGTGTGATGGATGTCAATCTCTCCCCCCTCACTTGTCACTCTCTTCTCCCCCCTCCTTGTTACTCTCATTCCCCCTCCCTCCCCTGTCACTCCCCCCTCCCTGTCAATTTCTCTCTCCCCGTCAATTCCCCTCCCTGTCAATGTCTCCCCCCCGTTAGTTTCTTCCCCCCCCACCTCCCTGTTAGTTTCTTTCTCCCCCCTCCCCTGTCAGTTTCTTTCTTCCCCCCTCCCCTCCCCTCCCTGTTTCTTTCTTCCCCCTCCCTGTTTCTTTCTTCCCCCTCCTTCCCTGTTTCCTTCTCCCCCTCCCTCCCTGTTTCCTTCTCCCCCCTCCCTCCCTCTTTTTCCCCCTCCCTCCGTTTCTTTCTTCCCCCTCCCTCCGTTTCCTTCTCCCCCCTCCCTCCTTCCCTGTTTCCTTCTCCCCCTCCCTCCCTGTTTCCTTCTCCCCCTCACTCCCTCTTTCTTCCCCCTCCCTCCCTGTTTCTTTCCCCTCCCTCCCTCCCTGTTTCTTTCTTCCCC